TATTGACGTATTTTAAGTAGTACCCAGTCCTGTGAACCCTCCTTGATTTTAACAACCTCATGGCTTTATGGTCTTTCTCCTCCACTTGGGGTAACAACAAAAAAGATTTATTTATTGTTTCAATCAATATGCATCCATTCATTCTGTCAGTTTTGGGTCTTGTGGTTCATGTTTCTAGTCAGTGCTGGATGTCTTTAACCTTCAAGTACATCCTTTAGTTTTATTTTTAATTTTACTTCATATTGAGCTTCTCTTATGTTACAATCTGGTTAAAAACCCATCAGAAACATCATCAGCAGCTCGTGGTTCAGTCCTGAACAGCCTCTGAGGACTGTCTGAAAGAAAGCTGCAGCTCTCTGCCTGCCCGCCTGCCGCTAACCGGGAGTCCTCGTCGCACCCCCCCGGCTGCTGACGCTGACATGCACGTCGCTGTGTCTGAATCCGGGGGCGGCATCGATTATTCATGCAGTGAGTGGAGCCACCCCCCCCTCGTGCTGACATGTGCCACGCTCACTGAAGCCGATTAATTGGCAGGAGAATGAGAGAAGAAGAGAGGGAGGGTGTCACAGAGAAATAGCAACTGAAGAGGGAGGGGTGACGTGAGAAAGGAGTGTTATTGTGTTATTTGGTGGTGGAGGGAGGTGGTGGAGCCTGAGTAACAGGATTAAGTTTGGATGTGTTGCTGTCGCACCGCACAGACCGAACAAGCCTGTCCGGATCTGAAGGAGCCATCCATAATTTATCATTTCACCTCCTCCAATTGGGAATCTCCTCCAGGACGATGACCACACATTACCCCCGGCAGGAGTTCACATCCAAGGCCATGAACGGAGCTGAGAAGAAGCTCCCACGGGTCAACATCAACCTGCAGGAGTCCATCGCCCACCTGCATCCGCTCCAGAGGCAGCACGCCATCGAGCTCCACCGACAGCAGCAGCAGCAGCAGCCGAAGTGTCCGCAGGTCCAGGCGTCTCTGTCGACGTTCACCACCTGCACCGTGCCGGCGTCCTGCCGAGCCCGAAGTCGTTTCCTCAACCTGCGAGACAGTGTCAAGAAAAGCCCGACCAAGAGTACCGCTAAAGTGGTCGGCAGCAGCCTCGCAGCAAGCAGACCGGAAATACCCTGGGTACCGTTCTCTTTCAGTAAGGTACTTCAACATTGTTCTGTTTGAAGTTGGAAGAACAAAAGCTTTAACTCTACCACTATTTTAGAGGTTAATTGAAGAGTCGCTGGACCGAGCTGGTTTGGAAAAGTACTCATGTTTGTGGCTGAGAGTACCAAGTCGATTCCAAAAAGGGCTTCAGATACTCGTAGCACTGAGTTGTACTAAAGAATACCAAAGGTTGGCATCGAATGTTGGGTCAGATTTGTAATGTTGTGCTTTATCTTTGATCAGAGTAGTTCCAGACTTCAGTCAGAATGTTACCAGGTTTAGACTTTTTGTGTGTCTGCTTGTGTCCATTTAACACTTTAGCTTCTTTTGTTAATAAAAGGGATGCGTACAAAAACTTGATTGTATTTGTTAAAGTCAGGGATTTCAGAAAGAACCCAAACACCAACTCTTGGTCACTTAATGTTCTGAAAATCCAAAATAACCTTTATTTACAACAATTGATCGACAGTGTGTTGGATCTTTGTGGTTTTTGATCCGATCAGTAAGACTTTTAAGTGTGAAAGACCCAGATTGATCAAAGTGCTGTTTTGCTGAAACTCGGCAATGGGATTGTATCGGCACTAGAATAAAAACCTCGGTTGTTGTCTTGCTTGAACCTGTCGTGTTGTTGGTGACCAAGCAGCTGAGGGTCGTTCTGCTGCAGAACATAACTTAAGTAGAGAAACTGGCTGCACATGTAGAGTTTTGTGGTGGGAGTGTGTGAGCTGCTGTCAGAGTCAGATTGAGCTACTACACTGTGTCAGTTTATGGAGAATCAATACAGACCGTCCATGTGCTGCCATGACATCTGTTGTGTCCCTGCAGTTGAAACCCAGAACCTCATCTTTCTGTTTCAGCATTTAAACTCTTCTTCGTCCATCAAACAACTTCTCTTTCGATTGTGTTTCGATCTTTACCTGTTTCACCCTCTCGTTTTTATCTCAGTCAACTTACACGAACTACAGTAGAGTGCACAAAGTACACACTGATTAACATTTGATTGATTTGGTTAAGTCTGCAATCAACGATTATTTCCATGTTAGATTAATGTGTTGATTAAAGCCAGACCGGTAAATCAGCTGATGTTACCCTTTCACATTTAAATTCTTATTGGCACAAATGTCAGCAGATAAATTAAAGTTCAAATATATTCTTGTGGTAATTTAGAAACCATGTCCTCAAGGTTATATCTTATAAAATATATAATTTATTCTTTAAAGAACAAATTAATTAAATCCGTCTGTAATGTTCATGTTGTTTTGATGTAAAAGAAAATGTATCAGCTGATTTATTGTCATCCAATATTGGTATCGTTATAAGCATCAAATAATCTGCTGTTGGTTGGATATAATGTTGATTTTTGGATCAGTTAGTCTGTAATATTTCAGAAAAAGGAGAAAAATGTCCATCACAACCAACCAAAGATTCACTTTATTCTCACTTTAGAGATTCTGGAAGAGTTTTTCCTCAATAATTGACTTGGATCAGTTATCAAAACTGTTGCTGATTGACTAATTGATTAATTGACTAATTGTTTCAGAAAGAGTTCTACAGACGTTGAGGGTCTCACAGGAGCGCTCACTCTTGTTAAATTAAAACATAAACTCCGTCCTGCGTGTGTTGCTGCATTCGTCACACCGGTTTGTGTTCTTTGGGAGCAATTAAGCCCCATTGTCAGCGGCTTTCCGAGCGGCGCTCCAGAAGTAGGGCTGGCGGATCAATGCGGTCGATGTGCGGGGGCTAATTTTAGCGGCTGTTGGTTTTCCATGGGCTCCAAGTTCTGCTGCTGCAGCACAACAATTAAGCCTCTTCGAAACAGAGCGACACTTCCTGCCAGCGGCTTCACGAGGTCCTGCTCTTGCATAATAGAGGTCACAGTGTTGAAGGCCGCCTCACACTCACTTCTCTTTATTACACTTTTACATGTAAGCCAGGGGTTTAAAAGGTAGATTGGTGTGTAAAGGTACAGTCTGATAGATACAGAGCTCGGTTACATCATGCAGGAGTGTTTAAAAGATACTGGTACCAAAGTAAGAATTAGGAAGTGGTGTTTGCTTATCATCACAGGTTGATTGATTTTAATATCTGACGGCTGCCTGAACATAAATAATCATGAAAGAGAAAAAGAAACACTATAAATGTATCGGTGACAACCCTCACTGTTTGTTAAATCTAATACATCAACATCAGATTGATTTTAATTAATTTCTGCTGCTAATACCTGCCTGAGATTAATTTTAGGGTTCATGTGAACATACAATCTCAGATTATTCTGAAAGCTCCGATATGCCCAACATAATAAAACCAAACTAACTAAAGATGTGGCTCATTGGCAGTAAATGAACACCAGTGCTCCGACTCTGAGCTGTTCACTGACGTGAACACTCACAGGTCGGAAACATTGGGATCTTTCCCATCACTACCTTTGATTAGTTCTGCCCATTTGGGTTCACAGTGTGCTGAATTTTACATCCTACAGGGGCGCTAACGGGACTACTTTGTGTTTCAGTGAGGTTTCACAGATGTTGGGTGGTAGTCACATAAATTCAAATCTATAATCATTAAACAGTGTATAAACTGTAGAGTTATCTTCTATATGTAGATGAATAATTATAATATTCAGAGTTATTATCGAGACTCGTAGAATTTCACTGGTATCGACTGCTTCCTTTCTACTGGTTCTTCTAAGTTTTGAGACTAAGATTTTCATTTTTACTGCAAATGTCTGTTTGATTACTAATAATCAATATCTGTATCGGCCCTGAAGAAAAGTGATGTAAAGCAGTGGGTCTCAACCCAAGTGTAAGATAACTCAGCATTTTGTTTATTTCTGTGAAGAAAACTAAATTAAATAGATAGTTTTAAAGTTTATTTTATTATTTAGGATGTAAAGTTTGATCACAGTGTATATTATTATTATTGATCGCAGTGTACAGTGACAGAGCTTCAGTCTCTGATCAACAGCCTCGTCCTGCATCAGAAAGCAAACAGCTGATAGATCAATGAGAATAAACAGTGAATCTGTCAGAAAGAAGAATATTAAGTCTGAGTGTTACAATGATAAAAAAAATACAGAATACAGACAGAGAATGGATCAATATATCAGGAAAACTCATCTCTGATCAATATTCACAGGAAATAATCAAACTTCCTGCAGTGATTGACTTCACTCTCTACTGTTATTGTTCTGCATTGAATATAATCACATATAGTCACAGTCAGGAGTCCCTTAAAGAAAAAGGTTGATGTAAACCACGAGGCAACAGCATCCGACCGTGTAATAACATTATAATCTAAAATCAGATGATAGAATAGTGCAAACAGCAGATCTGCCACCGTAACATATTGCTGGGGCAGTTGATAGTGTGACCTTTGACCTTCTGTGCTGATGTCAGTGCAGGCTGTCTGGGGTTAATACTTTCTGCTGCTCTTCAATAATCACAAAAAGGACATCCACCCCCCCGCTGAGACTGTACCCAGGGAGCAGGGATTTAACACACACACACACACACACACACACACACACACACACAGGTCAGATAGTGTGGTTTTAATCTCCTCAGAGCAGCAGATGGGAGCAGAGTTTGTCACATCAGGATTGTCCAAAAAGCAGAAGTGTCAGGTAATCTGTCAATCACAGAGCGCCGTCATGCAATTGGCCGAGCTCTACGACCACCCTGTGTGTCAAACTCCGCCCCACTGGCACCTCGACATGATAAAAACAAACCTGTCAGTCACCATGGACATGCATACATCCTCCTCCTCCATCCTCCATCCTCCTCCTGCTGTTCATCTGTGCTGCACTATGTTTGTCTAACCTTTGACCCCTCACCATGCTATTGTTCAGCAGGCCGAGGCCACCCCGCCCTCCTCTCCCATAATCCCTGTGATCCCGGTCTCGCCAATCGCAGCCGAGACCACCATCATCCCTCCGACGTCACAGGTTTCTTTTTATTTTGTTGTTGTTTTTTATTTTCCTCCACCTGTCCTCCTCCTCTGCTCCGTCCGCCTGTTGGTTTCTCTCTCCATGTGTTTGTCTGCTCACCGTCCAGCTCCGTTTCTGCTGCCGTCCAGCTGTGGCTCTGATGAAGTGAGCAGATTAGAGATAGGAACAGTGGGAGAAATGCCACACTTCCCCCCACGTGACTTTTAAGAGCCCATCTGGCTCCTCCCGGGCAGAAACTGAGCGAGCCATCGAGGCAGAAACAGAATAAGTGAGTGAGTGAGGGCACAGATTGAGTTCAAAGCTAGAAGAAGAAGGAGCAGAAGGAGCGGAACCGCCGTCCTTCAGGACTTTGATTTGATTGATTTAGGCTTCATGCTTCAGCATTGCATCTTCTGCAGTGTGAAATGCCACCATGTACGTACCGCAGCGCTCTGTCCGCACTAATCTCTGCTTCCTGTTTTATCCTCAGTTGGTCTGTGATGTGTTTTATTTGCTGCACGGCGGACAGCTTGGGTCCAGTGTGTGCTGTGTTTGCAGGGGTGGAGCTCTGTGGGAGGGTGCTGAGGTTTTGTGGCTGGATGTTGATGGGGGGTGTATTATTTTTTGTTGGTTTCCTCTGACACTGTCTTTTCTCCTCAGGCCAATCCTCCCCCTGTGGTGGTCAACACAGACAGCCTGGACACGCCTCCATATGTGAGTCCATCACCTGCGCTTTTGATTGTTCATTTAGTTTCTTTTTCATCTTTTAGGGCCAGAGTTCGTTGTTATTGCTCCAAAGCCTCGTTCACACTACACTTCCTCTCTGTAACCTGGAGTCTAGAAGATCTGACCAGGAGTAATCCCAGAGTCCGTCAAACCACATCAGGAGTCATTAATAACGAACATCATGTTTAATTAGGAACGTAGTTTCATAGTAGTATCATCTTTAACATTGTGTCTCCGCTACAGAAACACTAGCTAACTGCTAAAGGTTGTCTGACAGTATTAATTTGATTAATGCTTTAATAATGTGGGTATTGATAACTTATGCTGGCTGATCAGGATCATTATCATCTAATTGGACTTAGTTGCCCTTTATGGGCCTGTTTTCAGACTACGTTCCTAATTAAATCTGATGTGCTTGTTATTAAAGTGTATAAAGTTGTATTTGTCTTTTAAAAGTGTTTTTAGGAAAGATCAGTATTGATTACGCTGTAAAATCAACCCGTCATGGAACTAATACTGATTCTCCTTCATATCATTTGTACTCTTTTTGCCAATATGGACGTAAAATAGCTCTAAAATTAAATAACTGTTGAATTGATTTCTCACCCACTGTGAGACCATCAGTCTTCAGTTTTATTGGCTGCTTTTATCAGAATGTGGATAAAGTTCGATCAGAGACAGCCGACAGGGACAGACGGAGATGTACATCTATCTGTGCGTAGATGAAGTGAAGGACAGGTCCTCGTCTCTGACTGTCCTAGCGGGACTCGTTCCTGGCGTCAGACCGGCCTAAATGAGACTAAACAGCTGGCTGGCCTCTGATTGGCTCTGTGATGCTCGAGATGTTGGCGGCCGTCGGCGAGATCCCGCTTTATCTCTGCCAGCTTAATTTGCAGAAGAGCGAGATGTTAAGAAAATGAGAGAAGGAGGTTTTAAAAACCAGCTTATTACTCTGGCTCAGCTTACGCCTCGTCCAACTCAAGAGTCGGATCAGTTCAATGAAAGAGCTTCTGTTCTGTTTCCATTCATCTACCTCACTTCTGCAGGGTGAACAGGGGCTTTGAAAGATAAACATTTAACATGAGCAGTTGCAGTTTAATGATGATATTAAAATCTAATTGAGGTTTCAGATACAAAATGCTGCTGTGGAATATGATGGTCATTACAATAATCATCATTGTTTTGGGCAAACAGCGGCTACAGGCTGACAGACGCCTAATAACTGTTAAATAACACATACATAAACTCCCTCTGTCCTTCCAGCTCCCAGTCTGGGTACACACAGCTAATGGGAGCGCTAACTAGCTAATAGCAGCTAGTACAGTTACAAACATATGAATGTGTAGATTTCTGATCAATAACCTTTAACTGCGTGTGTGTGTTTGTGTGTGTGTGCGCAGGTGAACGGGACGGAGGCTGATTACGAGTACGAGGAGATCACACTGGAGAGGGTGAGGCGGCAGTCCTTTTTATTGTTGTTCTCTCTCACATAAACGAGTCCATAACTCAGAGGAGTCCTGGCAGCAGACGTCGACAGCCTGACTTTGACTCACTGCTTTTATTGTACTTTTAAACTCCGGAGGACCAACTGGTGCCTCCACAGACCTACAGGACTTCATCTTAACTTCTTACTCAGAAATCTGTGGGAGGAATGAATCTGTTGAATGAAAGCTGGTTTTAAATCTTTATTATCTTCTGTTACATCTTCCCCATTATGTTCAGTGCAGTCCTTATTTTAATAAGCTAACAGGTAAAAGATTTTCTGTAAAATAATGAATGAATAAATAAAATAATAATAAGATAAATCAAATGAATGAATGAAGAACTGTGTTCATCCTGATGCCTGATGAATACTGGAGCTCCAAATGTGGATTAATCCGCCAGTGAAAATAGTCCCTAACAGAGGCTCCATTTTCTTTCTGTTTGGTTAAAAACTTCTGAACTTTTTTAAACCTGAAACTACGTATTTGTGTTTTCAGTAGGAACCAGTGAGCCGCAGACAGGAAGTCAGTTGTCGCTTTGAGTCTGAACGTGAAGATTTTTCTGTTTCTCTATTATATTGCTCAGGTATGTTGACGTGTTTTGTTCTTATTTATTGTGGTTGTCATGGTGATTGCCGTGGTATCCAGGGTAACTCGGGACTGGGCTTCAGCATCGCGGGCGGCACAGACAACCCCCACATCGGCGAAGACCCGAGCATCTTCATCACCAAAGTCATACCCGGAGGAGCTGCCGCTCAGGATGGACGGCTCAGGTCAGTATGGAGTTCATCTGGAGTCAGTGAAACTTCATCATAGTTACAGGATCAGTTTCTACACCTCTTATCACTGTTGAGGTGTTTAATGCATTAAAATGTATCAGATAAGAACTGAATTTATGTACCAGCGTTTAAAAACTACTGCACCAGTGCGGTCGCTACCAGACTCTATTAATAAAACCAGTAATTTTACCTCACATATATTCAAAGTGGACCGAACCAGAATCAAACTCATTAAAAGCGTCTCTGTTAGTGTTTCCAACAATCACCAACTCTGGTTTGGTGGAAATAAATCCTTAATTCACCGACGTAGATGATAAAAACAGCAGTTTCAGTCGGAGCAGACCGGCTATGGAAACCAACCACAGAGAGGCTGCGATACAACACAGGCAGAGGGAGAGAGACACCATGTGACTCTGTGTCTTTATATAGAGAACAGTTGCTATATTTAAGAGCTGGTGTCCATTACCCAGAATCCCCTGCAGAGTCCTGCTGTCTTTCACTACCTCATTCATTATTTAGCCAGAGTCTGACACACCTGATCCAGGTGAAGATGACGGACTGCGTGATGAAGAGCGGCGGGTCCTGCCTCAGTCTCAGGTTGCCTCTAACGTGAACCCTGTTTGTTGGTTTGTCAGTCATTAGGGAGGCTCATGTGTCCGACTGAAAGCTCAGGTCAGGTAGAAACAAACTGAAACTCATTGATTAAAGAGTCATTGATCACTTATTGCTTTGTTGTCTTCAGTTTAAACAAATATTTTTACAGTGTTCATACTCGTACTGTGAATATAGACACATCACATATAGACTCAATCCAACATCAACATAAAAGGACCAGAAACTCAAATAAAACAACAAACATTTATAGTGTTCAACCCGTGTTCGACCCGTGTTTAACCTGTGTTTAACCTGTGTTTAACCCGTGTTTAACCTGTGTTTAACCCGTGTTTAACCCGTGTTTAACCCGTGTTTAACCCGTGTTTAACCCGTGTTTAACCTGTGTTTCAGGGTCAACGATGTCATCCTGAGAGTTAACGAGGTGGACGTTCGGGATGTGACCCACAGCCGAGCCGTGGAGGCTCTGAAGGAGGCCGGCTCGCTGGTGCGACTCTACGTCCGCAGGAGGAAACCTGTCTCGGAGAAAGTGATGGAGATCAAACTGGTGAAAGGCCCCAAAGGTACCAGAAAGGGTTAAATATCCAGTCGGCAGGTACAGGAGTCGTCTCTGTGCGTCTCTGCTGGCTGAGGAGCTTTGGTGAAATCCCTCAGGGCCTCACGATTATTCAGACTCAAGAACAAAGCCTCGGTTTCCACGGAAACATCCTAAAATATGCTTTTGTGCATTTATGTGTCCTGATTTGTGCCGGTGTTAAATTGGCAGCAGCCTGCTGTTTCTGTGATATCTTATAAATGTTGGTGCTCAGTAACGTCCCCCCTCTGGTCCTGGTCTGTGGTGTGTTTCAGGTCTTGGCTTCAGTATAGCAGGTGGCGTGGGGAACCAGCACATCCCGGGCGACAACAGTATCTATGTCACCAAGATCATCGAAGGAGGAGCTGCACATAAAGACGGGAGGCTGCAGATCGGAGACAAACTGCTGGCTGTAAGACTCTTCACTCCTTATTTTATAGTTTCAAAGGTTCTGAAGTATTTTCAGTCTCTTGATCAGCAGACAGTGATCGGGTTGTAGTGTAGCTTTGTTCCTCTGCTCCACCACACAGAGTCCACCACACAGAGTCCACCACACAGAGTCCACCACACAGAGTCCACCACACAGAGTCCACCACACAGAGTCCACCACACAGAGTCCACCACACAGAGTCCACCACACAGAGTCCACCACACAGAGTCCACCACACAGAGTCCACCACACAGAGTCCAAAGTCAAAGCTAACATTAATGCTAAGCTAGTGGAACATATTGTCTGATTGTGCTGTTAGCTGGATAACGTTAGCTTTGTTGCTAATGAATTGTTAGCTAACTAACGTAGCTGACCTGGCTGTTATTTTGACGACTTTTTTATTTTTCATACTTAAAGTACATTTTGATAATAATACTTACAAATACTTTTACTTAAAGCAGCTAAAAGGAACATTTTGTGTTGATTCTGGCGTCCCCTGTGGACAAAAGTGTTTCTACCATCTTCATTGATTTCAAGGGGAATCTGACTCGGTGTCATTATTAGTAACTATACAGAAACAGTCTTCTGTGATTCCTGTGTTGCAGTGTATTTACTGTACGCAGTCGCTCTGAGGAGGTGAATGCTGATGTGTCTCCTCTATATGCTCAGGTGAACAGTGCTTGCCTGGAGGAGGTGAGCCACGAACACGCCGTCACTGCCTTGAAAAACACTCCTGACGTGGTCTACTTGAAAGTGGCAAAACCCAACAGTGTCTTCATGAACGACAGCTTCGCCCCGCCCGACCTCACCAACTGTGAGTGATGATGGTTTTTAATTTCACACCACAACAGAACCAGAACCACTGTTACAGTTTATTCACTGATGAGACCTTTAACCTGTTGCACTGCAGCAGTCTGAGCCTAAAAGCGTGAGACGATTCTGTGATTTAACATCAATGAACGGATCGAAATGATGCTGAAACAACGACATCAAGACGACGAGCAAACGACTCTTAAAATGCTTGTTTTCTGAATGGAGTTTGGTTGATCAGAGCTTTGATGGAGGATAGGAAACGTATAGACAGATGACATAAAATCACTTAAACATTAACTTCAGGTTCAGGTGAGGAGATCAGATCTGATCCAGGATGAGTAACAGAACCAGGATTTCAAAGGTTCATCAGACACCAGAACACTTCAGAGGTTAATGATAATAATCAGAGATATTCAACCGGGGATGTTCTCCTCGGTCAGACGGTTGAGATTAACTCAAATGATCCTCTCCGCGGCCACACAAGGACATGAAGCCTGTGGTTGGAGGTCTTCTAAAGTCACACCAACCAGATTAGCAGGTCCCGGTTCTGATGTGGACCGGGTGACTTTGTGCCTTTGACCCTGAATTAGTGTAGAATCCAGCAGGGACCGCAGCGTGGCGTTCCCCACGGTGGCATTCATCAAACAACACGTCTCAAAGTCAAGGCGAGGCGGGAACGTATTCAGAGCACGAACCCTGGATCCGGTCCCAACGACTCCCTCGTGAACCTTAATGTGAGGTCGCTGAAGGACGGACTGATCCTGGACTGGTGAGGACAGGAGGAACGATGTCCGGCTCAACCGTCTGACCGGGATAGAAGTGATCAGATGATTGATCGCTGAACAGGAAGTTAACTGTAGAGGATAAATCTGTCTATATCTCCTGTTACTGACAGCAGTTAAATGAACTCAACTTTATGTGCTAGTATATTTGCAGTAAGGGCGACATTCCTACAAGTCCTGGAAAACCTGGAAAATCTGGATATTTAGAGACTAGTTTTCCAGTCGTGGAAACACCTGGAAATTTATTAAAATGATAATAAATATTCTACTGTAAAAGGTCTAATAAAAGCAAATAGATTACGTATTAGTCTTCTTTTAAAATGCTTGTTTTCTGAATGAAGTTTGGTTGATAGGTGCTATGCTAACTTAGATCATAGTAAAGTAAAACCTGCTCTGTCCTGTAAAACGTTTAATAGCTCCGAGTTAATAAGTGATTAAATTTAGAGATATCTCTGAGCTGTAACATGAACAGTAAACAAACACAAACACTGTGTTTGTAGGAATTATAACAATCCGAACACAAAGAAGGAGAAACATGGGCAGACTGATTTTAGTTTAAAGCTTCCTGACAAATGTTCTCAGTGTCCTGATGAAACCTCTTCCAATGATCAGCTGATCGAAGTGATGGGACGTGTCCACAGGGCGTCTCTGGACAAACGTTTTGCTACCAACATGGTGGCTTGTCTGGAAACTTTGTCTCGCGTTACAAAAATAGTTCACCAAAATGTGTTTCTGGAAACATTTTAATCAGTCCAAAACCATCTCTGTATCTATAACGACGCCGGAGAGTTAGCCTCTGTGAGCTGCTAGCTAACGTTACAACAAACGGTGTGAATGTGCTTCTAGTGACTGTAAAAGCTCCAGTGGACGCAGAATTTACGCTTTAAATGTTGTTTAATCGTCTGATATCCCTGTAGTAGCCTGGACTTAAACTTTATGTGAATCATTAGTTGCTCAGGACAAACGTAAAGGCTGAAATACCTCAAATGTACCTGCAGCTGAACCTGCTGACACAGTTCAGTGAGCTGCTTTCTTCAGGAGCCGGGGATGCGTCTCTGTGTCAGCGTCATCCAACCATAACAGCCCTTCCCCTTCCTCCCCGTCCCCTTCCTCCTCTTCCTCCCCGTCCCCTTCCTCCTCCTCCGCTGATGTTGAGGTTGACGTGTGAAGGACGAGCAGCAAATCCACTCAGCGAGCGTCGAGCTTCAGCTGCTGCCGCTGCGGTCGGGTTAATCCACTAACACTCTGATTACATCTACCAGAGCGAACTAAACAATTCTGTTACAGGACCAGTACGGACGATCTGACTCCCCACTATATATATATATGTACTATATCTATATCTGTAGACATATATAGAGGAGCAGGTAGAGGAGGAGGGAGAGGAGCAGGTAGAGGAGGAGGAGGAGGGAGAGGAGCAGGTAGAGGAGGAGGAGCAGGTAGAAGAGCAGGTAGAGGAGGAGGAGCAGGTAGAGGAGGAGGGAGAGGAGGAGGGAGAGGAGGAGGGAGAGAGGAGGGAGAGGAGCAGGTGGAGGAGCAGGTAGAGGAGGAGGAGCAGGTAGAGGAGGAGGGAGAGGAGCAGGTAGAGGAGCAGGTAGAAGAGCTGGTAGAGAAGGAGGGAGAGGAGCAGGTGGAGGAGCAGGTAGAGGAGGAGGGAGAGGAGCAGGTAGAGGAGGAGGGAGAGAAGGAGGGAGAGGAGCAGGTGGAGGAGCAGGTAGAGGAGGAGGGAGAGGAGCAGGTATTGGAGGAGGAGCAGGTAGAGGAGGAGGGAGAGGAGCAGGAGAGGAGCAAGTAAAGGAGCAGGTAGAAGAGCTGGTAGAGAAGGAGGGAGAGGAGCAGGTAGAGGGGCAGGAGCAGGTAGAGGAGCAGGTAGAGGAGGAGGGAGAGGAGGAGGTAGAGGAGGAGGAGCAGGTAGAGGAGGAGGAGCAGGAAGGAGGAGGAGAGGAGCAGGAGCAGGTAGAAGAGCAGGAGCAGGTAGAAGAGCAGGTAGAGGAGGAGGAGCAGGAGAGGAGGAGGAGCAGGTAGAGGAGCAGGTAGAGGAGGAGGAGCAGGTAGAGGAGGAGGTAGAGGAGCAGGAACAGGTAGAAGAGCAGGAGCAGGTAGAAGAGCAGGTAGAGGAGGAGGAGCAGGTAGAGGAGGAGGAGGTAGAGGAGGAGGAGCAGGTAGAGGAGGAGGAGCAGGTAGAGGAGGAGGGAGAGGAGCAGGTAGAGGAGCAGGTAGAGGAGGAGGGAGAGGAGCAGGTAGAGGAGGAGGAGCAGGTAGAGGAGGAGGGAGAGGAGCAGGTAGAGGAGCAGGTAGAAGAGCTGGTAGAGAAGGAGGGAGAGGAGCAGGTAGAGGGGCAGGAGCAGGTAGAGGAGCAGGTAGAGGAGGAGGAGCAGGTAGAGGAGGAGGGAGAGGAGCAGGTAGAGGAGGAGGTAGAGGAGCAGGTAGAGAAGGAGGGAGAGGAGCAGGTAGAGGAGGAGGGAGAGGAGCAGGTAGAGGAGGAGGGAGAGGAGCAGGTAGAGGAGGAGGAGCAGGTAGAGGAGCTGGTAGAGGAGGAGGGGAAGGAGACCAGAGACTGACTGAAGCTGTCTGTCTCTCTGTTCCAGCGTACTCCCAGCACATGGAGAACCATATCAGCCCCCCCAACTTCCTGGGTCAGTCCCTCCCCCCACCAGCATCCTCGGGACGCTACTCCCCAACGCCGAAGAGCATGTTGGGAGACGATGATGTCACCCGGTGAGGACAAACACATCACACATATAGTAATAATAATAATAATAATAATAATAATAGTTTCATTAGTTTATAATCAGCTGATAATAAGAATCGTTCTACAGAGGGAGCGGCCGTGTTGAACCACACCGGCTGTAAATCCACACTATGTAAGATTTGGTATTTGTTTCGCCCACAGTCTCAATCCCACTGTGGTAAATATGGACAGTTGTACATTTATCAGGATTACTTACTGCAGTGGTTCCCAACCTGGGGGTACACAGAAGGCCGAGATCTCAAGATCTGAACAGGAAACTGAATGAATCAGTTTACTCAGACAGAGAATTGTATAAGAAGTTCCTAAAACCATCAGAAACGCCCCTCTGATGTAACATTAACTGTAAATAATCTGCTCTAACTAAGATAACTAACAGCAGCTCCATTGGTAGCGGCTACTTTACTGTCCATCAGAAACTCTGTAAATCACAGAGAGTTGAAGCAGCTGGAGGAAATATTCCCTCCATTAAGATCTGATCCAGTTCCAGTTGGTGGTGTGTGACCTTAATGGCTTTATTATAAATGAGGTACTGTTATTTTAAGGTGGTAAAGTTACATAATGAGGCTTTAAAAAGGAGGTGAAACAGTAGATTCAATTATAACCAACACAAACAGCTGTTCCGCCCTCTGCTGGTGGAAACCTGCTATTACACACAGCAACCAGAATCAGAACCAGGTTGTGATAATAAAAATACAGAATACAGACAGAGAATCTTATAAAAGGTAAATGACGTCAGGAGGATTGACTGTGGTCCCACAGGGAGCCCAGGAAGGTGGTGCTGCACAGAGGAGCAACAGGACTGGGCTTCAACATCGTGGGCGGGGAGGACGGAGAGGGGATCTTCATCTCCTTCATCCTCGCCGGAGGACCAGCTGACCTCTGTGGAGAGCTGAGGAAAGGAGACAGACTCGTCTCTGTACGTACACACACACACACACACACACACACACACACACACACACACAGCATCAGTAATCAATACTCCCATTATTGAAGCATTAATCAACCTTATCAGCCTTTAGTAGTTAGCTAGTGTTTCTTTAGTGGAGACTAAACGTTAACAATGATCGATATTATCCATAAAGATACAGTGTATACTGATCAATATCATCCATACAGATACAGTGTATACTGATCAATATCATCCATACAGATACAGTGTATTGGGATCAATATCATCCATACAGATACAGTGTATTCTGATCAATAATCCATACAGATACAGTGTATTGTGATCAATATCCATACAGATACAGTGTATTGGGATCAATATCATCCATACAGATACAGTGTATTCTGATCAATAATCCATAAAGATACAGTGTATACTGATCAATAATCCATACAGATACAGTGTATTGTGATCAATAATCCATACAGATACAGTGTATTGGGATCAATAACATTCTGTTGCTGTCCTCAGGTGAACGGGGTCGACCTCCGTAACGCCACCCACGAACAGGCCGCCGCCGCCCTGAAGAACGCCGGGCAGACGGTGACGATCATTGCCCACTACAGACCGGAGGGTGAGACAGCTGCACGACCCGTCACACGATCAATAGATCAATAGCTTTGATCGTAGAGTTTATCATGAATATTTGACGTTGAGCTGTGTCACTTCCTGTCCAGAGTACAGTCGGTTCGAGGCGAAGATCCACGACCTGAGAGAGCAGATGATGAACAGCAGCATCAGTTCTGGTTCTGGATCTTTACGGACGAGTCAGAAACGGTCGCTGTACGTCAGGTAAGGTATCCACTCACCTGGACGCCATCTTTAAACCTTTAGCTCTTATTTTGTAAACTAATTTTTACAGTTTAACACACATATATTATATAATAAAATATATATTTTAGTTTTAAAATACTAATTATATAATTCATTAAGTGAAGTTGTAAGACTAAAATTATACATACAGTCAGAAATATTCAACCCCCTCAACTCACAATACATTACAGTGATGTGGGTGAAAGATATTGATGATAAATAAGAAAAAAACTCATTAAACAACAACAGATATTTATTGATACATATTTGAATTATTCTGACAACAGAAGTTGATTTAACTTTGAAGTTCAAATTAAAAATGTTACTCTTTTAACACACGTACAGTATTATAGCTAACTATAACTTCAGTACTTTGTGGAGCATCCTTTAGCTTTTATAACTTCTAACAAACGTTATGTTACGACTTTATTCTCGTAATTTCCCCCTCAAAAAAATGTATTTTAGTCTGGCCCTAATACTCCGTCGTAGCTTCTTACAACTCTCGATCAGACTCTATCTCTAGCTCAGTGATGTTTGATGGCTTCCGTGCTGCAACTGCCTTCTTTAAATCCCACCAAAGATTTCCAATCGGATTTAAATCTGGTGACTTGAGAATGCCACTCCAGGACGTTCCAGGACCTTTTTCTCAACCAAGCTTTGGTTGACTTGGAGGTGTGCTTGAGATCGTTGTCTAACTGGAAAGTCCACTGATCACCAAGGTTTAATCCGTCAACAGAACGTTCCTCTTTAAAGAGGCCCGGTATTTCTGGGAATCCATGATGCCAGGTACACGATCAAGACTGCAACATCATCAATGACCCACCTCCATGTTTGATGGTATTGTTCTGGCCTTTCACACCCCAGACATACCGCTGGTCCATATATCCAAACAGTTTGGTTTCATCAGTCCATAGAACTGTCTCCAAAACTCTGTAGTCTCATCCTAATTCCTCCTGACATATTCTAGTCGACTGTTGATGTTCCTTGTGGTCAAGAGTGTGCAACTCCGGGCATGAAGTCAGTTCAGTGCACGTGAAATGTTGGACTTTCTTCCACAGCCAGGCAGGTTTACAGCTGTTCCATAAGGTTTAAACTTCCTTATAATGCTCCCAATGGTGTCTCTTGGAATATTACATTATTTGGAAATCTGCTTATACCCAAGGTCCTCCAGCTGTGATGAAATAATCTCCTCTCTCAGCTTTGTGGAAGCTCTTTTGTCTTTCCCATGATTGCAACTCACAGTCAATATCTTCATGGGTGAAGGATCATTATAGAGTTCCCAAAGGCTTAATTATGTTTCAGCTCCACTTTAGGCCAGACAGCTTTAAAAACAGCAACATTATATAGAGGTTGAATAACAGTGACATGGCTATCTTAACAAAATATACTCTTACACACAAATACTACATAATGCATTTTATGTTTCACTGAACTCATAAAGACGTCATCCAGGGCAAAACCTTTTCCTCTTATGGTCTTCAGTGTGTTTCAATAAAGTTAATGTCTGTCTGTCTGTCTGTCTGTCTGTCTGTCTGTCTGTCTGTCTGTCTGTCTGTCTGTCTGTAGAGCTCTGTTTGACTACGATAAGACCAGGGATTCGGGTCTTCCCAGTCAGGGACTGAACTTTAAGTTCGGGGACATCCTCCACGTGGTGAACGCCTCCGATGATGAGTGGTGGCAGGCCCGACAGCTGACGTCACAGGGGGAGGTGGAGGAGGTCGGCGTGATCCCGAGCAAGAGACGGTCAGCTGTTTATTTTACCGCCTTTTTATTTAAGAACTTTTATTGTTAAATGTGTATCAAACCTCTGACCTTTGACCTTCTGTCCTCTTTGACCTCAGGGTCGAGAAGAAGGAGAGAGCGAGATTAAAGACGGTGAAGTTTAACGCAAAGTCTCGAGACAGAGGGGTGAGTGTTTCCTCCCTCAGTACTGATGGATGTAGTTCTTATCCACTCAAACTCCCAAGATGCATTGTGTGAATTATGGTCAGAGAGTCGAGTCCACTAACAGTAGACGACATCATGGATCCCAAATACGGAAGCATATCGCATTCACTTGAACATTTATTATTTTCTGTTTTCCTGAGTTCAGAGAGCATTTGAAACAATAGACGCATTCATTCCTTTATTGATTGATTCCTCGATTTAACGGAAACAAACACGAGTACAGGATCAGCAGCTATGGAAACAAACCACAGAGAGGCTGCGATACAACACAGGCAGAGGGAGAGAGACAGGCAGAGGGAGAGAGACAGGCAGAGGGAGAGAGACACCATGTGACTGTTTATAGAGAATATAATGTTTAATAGCTCATATATAGAAGCTTTAAGCTAACAGCTAATAACACAATGCATCATGGGACTCCTGAGTTAAATACGATTGATTATAGATCGACTGTGTGACGATGAACTCTACTAATGAGTGACTAATGTTTAAAACCAGCTCGACACTTAACAGCATGTTGTTGTTGTTGTTGTTGTTGTTGTTGATCTCTGAGACGTTTTCTTCCTCACCGCTCCAACGTCTCAGCAGCCGAACCGCAGCAGCGCCTCCCCAGCACCTTTTTTAAACCGTGTGTCGCTTTAACACGCGTTGGCAGAACGCCCCCGCCCAGCGCCGCCCGCCGCCCCGCCCTCTAACACACCAGACTGACGGGGGGAGGAAAAATACATGCATGACCTCCTCCCTCCTCCCTCCCCCCTCCCTCCTCATACAGAGAGAAACGCTTGACATTGATGTCTGACTGTCTGCTGCTCACCTTCCTCCTCCTCCTCACTCACCTGTCTCACCTGTCTCACCTGTCTCACCCCCCCTCCTGCTGGATAACACTGAACTGCAGCATGTGATCTAATGATGTCACTAGTCCCGCCTCCTGCTGATGACAACCTATTGAAAGCTGAACGTATCAATATTATATATTTCATATAAACAGTCGATCAGATACTTTCCTGTCAGTTCAACTCTGTATTATACTTTATTAATATATTTATATATATTATTATTATTATCAGAGATAGAGATTGATCAGGATCAGAGACTGATCAGGGACAGAGATTGATCAGGATCAGAGATTGATCAGGGACAGATACTGATCAGGATCAGAGATTGATCAGGGACAGAGACTGATCAGGGACACAGATTGATCAGGATCAGAGATTGATCAGGATCAGAGATTGATCAGGATCAGAGATTAATCAGGATCAGAGACTGATCAGGATCAGAGATTGATCAGGGACAGATATGGATCAGGATCAGAGATTGATCAGGGACAGAGATTAATCAGGATCAGAGACTGATCAGGATCAGAGATTGATCAGGGACAGATACTGATCAGGATCAGAGATTGATCAGGATCAGAGACTGATCAGGAAGAGTTATCAGGGAAGAGATTGATCAGGATCAGAGACTGATCAGGGACAGAGATTGATCAGGATCAGAGATTGATCAGGGACAGAGATTGATCAGGGACAGAGATTGATCAGGGACAGAGACTGATCAGGATCAGAGATTGATCAGGGACAGAGATTGATCAGGGACAGAGATTGATCAGGGACAGATACTGATCAGGGACAGAGATTGATCAGGGACAGATACTGATCAGGGACAGAGATTGATCAGGGACAGATACTGATCAGGGACAGAGATTAATCAGGATCAGAGACTGATCAGGATCAGAGATTGATCAGGGACAGAGATTAATCAGGATCAGAGATTGATCAGGGACAGAGATTGATCAGGATCAGGGACAGAGATCAATCAGGATCAGAGACTGAGAGATAAAGAGTAAATGTTCTGTGCATCCGTCCAGCGGTGGAAACAATCTCCAATAAAACCAGCAGCCATCAGTCTCTCTCTTCGTCACGCTCACACTCTTCTTCAGTCACATCGTCCACATGTCGCTCATCCCAACACGTTCACTGACATTGAAGCATGTCTGCATGTTCAGCTCCTCCTGCTTCTGTCTGCTGCGTTCACTGTCACTGTGACCTCTGACCTCTGACCTCCACTCAGAGCATCGAGGTTCACTTTATATGCAACGATGATCAGCTTGAAGCAGACGTCTGATTCTGTGGTTTGGACTTCATTACAGACTAACTCCATTAAAATCAGCTCAAACATTCATCAGACAGAAAGATACAAACAGAAGTTCATGTGAAGAAGAACCAGAAGTCTTCAAAGCCTCCAGACTCCTTTATAAAGGCAGTCGTCTAGTTTTTACTAAAGGAGTCTGCTGGCTCTGAACAGAACCACAGATGGTGGAGGTCGGTTCCTCCGTCACGCTGCAGGAACCAGAACTCAGTTAATTTCTACTGTTTGTGTTTGTTCAGTTTTAGCCAGTTAGCCTGTTAGCCACAGACTCAGACACAAAGCGTCTCATTCTGTCCAAACCAACATCAGACTCCCCCCATCTCCCCCTCTTCCTCCTCTTTTTTTTATTCCATCACCCCTCCTCCTCCTCCTCCTCTTCCTCCTCCTCTTCCTCCTCTTCCTCCTCAGCAGTCTCTCAATGACAAGCGTAAAAAGAACCTCTTTACCCGAAAGTTTCCGTTCTACAAGAGCAAAGAGGCGAGCGAGCAGGAGACCAGCGACGTCGACCGTAAGTACCAGCGCGGCGAGGGAGGCGGGGGAGGCGGGGCTGTCTGTCTGAGAGACGGTTGGTCGGCGACAGGAAGAGAGGTCAGCAAACGCACCGGTTGTCACGGCAACGGGGCGGGGCTAAAATAAAGCCGCTCTTACAGTCGTTAATGGAGACTGAAACACTGATTTGGCCCCTCCCCCCTCCTCTTTGGAGCCAAAATGGCCGCCCCGTAGCCCCCCCGGCCGGCTGCGTCCCCTCTGCTCTCTGTCGCTGTAGTAACTCTGTGTTTTCTTGTGGTTGTTTTCTCCTCGTTGTTCACTCGGCTCCGCTGACTTCAGGACAACAGCGATGACATGATACCCAAAACCCACAGTAAGTGGCCCCCCCCCACCTCACCCTCTCACCACATAAAATCTCCCATCAGCCACCAGGCCTCCAGCTGGATCCTTTCAGCTGAATATTAATAACTTTTATTCAACAGTAATTAGTTACACGACTAGTTATATTACTTTTCTGATACTTTCCACATAATTAATAATTGTGTCCTTTCTGCCCAAAATTCAGATCAGCAGGAAACAACAGAAGTAACTTATTACTTTTTGTTGAGTTGATTAATGTTATTAGTGACAACAAGTAATTAGTTACACTTCTAGTTACTGTGGAAAGTAATCTTATTACCAGTGATGAGTTACAGCAGATTATAATGTAATTAAACTTTTGGTTGTTTCTTTAGTGAACGACATCGAACTCACGGTTTAATTAAAGTAATTAAACAGAACTTTTACAGGAAGTTTCATCCCGTCGTCCATAAATCTCCACGTTCAACGTCGTTCACATCCATTGATCTTCGCTAACGTGGAAGTTTTATTGCAAAATAATGTAAATAAAAAGAATAAAATGAGAAAATAAAAGCTTAAAGTTATTTAATGTTACAAAAATAAAGAAAACAAACAAAAGATTTAAATTTTTTTTACTGGTTTTAATGGAGGACTGGCAGAGTCCGCCTCTTGGTTCCTGGTGGCCTCCTCTTCCTCTTCCTCCTCCTTCTCTTCCTCTTCCTCCTCCTCCTCTTCCTCTTCCTCCTCCTCCTCTTCCTCTTCCTCCTCCTCTTCTCCACTGACTGTCGAGGATCCTCCAGCCCGGAGCTCCGTCTCTTCACTTTCACTCTCGTAGAAACGTCACAGAGTTTGTTTTCTGGGCGACGTCGTCCTCTCACAGCTCAGGTGAACCTTCACACCTGGGTCCTCCTGGACCTTCGTGGACCTTCCTGGACCTTCGTGGAGGTTTCTCTGGTGTTGTAGGAGTTGATGTAGAGTCTCTCATTGGTTGAACTATACGTGGTTCAGGTTTATATATGACTGATCCCCGTTGACCTCTGACCTCTGGATATCTGAATGAAGATGGTCTCCACTATGTGAATCTCTGTGCAGCTGCAGTATGAATGTGTTATTTTAACTTGATGAACTGGAATATTTCAGTACTCAACAGAACATGAAGCCCGTGTGACCCACAGAACTTATTTCAGTTACCAAACATTAGCTCTGTCAGCTGAAATGCTAACTCAGGGTTAAAGTGTGTTAAAGTCTTGAACTGTAAAATGATAATTGAACGTCCCGTCTGTTCATATTTGTGTTACTGTGGTCGGACTCCTCCAGTCCTGTGGATGCAAAGCATTGTGGGTAAGCGCCGCTGCTCCCGGGCTGACCTTGTGTTTTGTTGTGATTCCAGAGCACGTGACCTCTAACGCCAGCGATAGTGAAAGTAGCTACCGTAAGTGTGACACTCTGCCGTCGACGCTGCCTGCCGCTTACGCTCGATGATTGACAGGAAGCACTAACAGTCAGCTGACCTCCGGCTGAACCCGCTAACCGCCTCACTGATGATGTCATTAATGGGCACAAACTGCTGATTGGCTAATAACAGCATGACCTCACACACGCAGTTAACCTCCCCGCTAACGTCCCTGAACGTGTGTGTGTGTGTGTGTGTGTGTGTGTGTGTGTGTGTGTGTGTGTGTGTGTGTGTGTGTGTGTGTGTGTGTGTGAATTGAAATCGTTAACAGCGCAGTAATAATATTCCTGCAGCTTGGTGCCAAAAGATACAGTAGAATAACGGAAAATTAAAATACAGTTTTTACCTTTAATTTAACATAAAATATTGTTTTTGTTAATCTTTTTAATGTTGAATTAAAGATATTTACAGTGTAAAACAATGATCTATAAATCCAGGTGAACTCTGCTATAATACAATAATCAGACTTACATTTACAGCAGAGTGCTGTTATTATTGGATTGTTATTATTTTAATGTGAATGTTAAAAGTTATAGAAGTGTAATAAAAGTCATTATCTGTGAGATTACAGTAATTATTGCTGTTTACACTGATAACAACTGTATTTGGACAGTTTACCTTATACACTGATAAACAACATTTATTCAACTTCCATCATTATACAACATATCTGTCAGTTCACTAACTAATACATTAAAATTACACAACTAATACTTTTTACTGTTAATGACACTCATTTAACATAATTATAGAAATAAATTAACAGTATTAAAGTTGACTTAATATATTAAACAGTAAATATCTGTGAACCTGATGAAAGGTTTGTATGACTGTGGCGACTGTCGGACAGCGTACTCATCCTCAGCCTTCATCCCTCCCTCCTCCCCTCAGTTAAACTGTCTCTCTCTCCGTCCTCTGTGTGTCTGCAGGCGGGCAGGAGGAGTACGTTCTGTCGTATGAACCCGTCGTTCAGCAGGAAGGTGAGTTCATTGATCTCCATCCAGCATTAACCTCCAGCGGAGGAAGTGCAGATATTTACGGTCTCCTTCCTCTCTGACAGTAAACTACACCCGCCCCGTCATCATCCTCGGCCCCATGAAGGATCGAATCAACGACGACCTGATCTCTGAGTTCCCCGACAAGTTTGGATCCTGCGTCCCCCGTAAGTCCTCCTGCAGCGGGTCCGGTTGGGTCTCACTCTCTATCAGATCAGATTTTAACCTTGATCAGGTGCAGTCATATACATTCACACGTTCAAGGATACAACACAGGTGTAAATGGGCTAGAGGTAGTCCATGGATTTTGACATCTTAACAATGTCCAGATAGTCCATATTTGAAAGTGAGCAGTGATATTCATTCACTGAGTGAGAGGATGAACATACAGTTTACAAACATTCATTATTCATAATTGAATGGCAGGGGGAAGAAAAACCTCCATCAGTCACATCAACAATCATATCAATCAATAAAATATGAGATAATTGGGGACCATTTATTCAGGAATACATCCGATTTCAAGTGTAACCTTGCAGTTATATTTTCCATGTAGTAAACATCCTTAACTTTCTCTCTCCATTGTGCTACTGTGGGGGGGGGGCTGCAGCCTCAGCCAGGAGATTGTAATCATCATCTTAGCAATTAGAAGGACTCTCAGCAATACTCTCTGATTATTGTTTTCTAGATCTTCTGGTAATATTGCTAACACAAAACAAGATGGTTCTAAGGGAAGATCTACATTTAAACATTTTTTATTTCATTTTGTATGTTTAGCCAGTATCTTATGTGTGTGGTCTCCCACCAGGCCACAGCCCCTCCAGCACTGATCTGAGGTATCCACAAATTTTGATGTGACAACAGGAGTCCTGAAAAACCTCATCTTAGTTTTCCATTCAAATTCCTTCCAGATAGGGCTATTTGTAATTTTGTGACCTTCTCCGCACACTCCGAACAATCCCCAGCTGTTATCTGGAGTTATGGTGTTCCAGTTCCCATTTTTCTTTCATATCTAAACTGTTATCCGTTAGTTCTAAATGGAATTGTGTCTAGGGGCAAGTTTAGGCAGTCATTCTGCTCCATCCCAACCCATATAGTATCGTTGTCTTCAGATATCCATGCAACCAATGATCTAAGCTGAGCTGCCCAATAATATTTTTTCAGTTTAGGTAAATCAAGGCTTCCATTGTCTTTTGTGCATAACAATCTTTGCAATCTGATTCTGGGTCTTCTGTTTTGCCAAATAAATTTAGAGTAGAGGGTAGAGATTGGAACACAAAGAGCAGCCTTGGTAATATGTTCATTCGTATCATTTCCACTCGTCCTATTAGGCATAAGGGGAGAACTTCACATCTTGTAAGGTCATTTTTTATTTCACCCATCAGTTTGCCATAGTTGTCTTTGTACAGCTGTGATGCGTCAGGTGTTATGATGATACCCAAGTATCTAAACCTTTGATTAGACCAGTGGAATTTAATGCTGCCTGTTAATTGTGCAGGTCAGTGCCCCACCAGCATCATTGCCTCTGACTTTGATTGATTTATTTTATAGCCTGAGAGCTCTCCATGTTCGTTCAAATTTCTCATTAATGCTGGGACAGAGGTAACTGGATCGCATTTAAATGTCAATATGTCATCTGCATAGAAAGAAGTTTTGTGTTCTATTTGTCACCCTGTCACCCCTCTCAAGATGAAAAAAAATCTGAACAGCATCTATTCACTAACACGTGATTTTGGGTTTGTATATATGACTCTTATCCAGTCTACAAATGTGGGGTGGAACCCCATAACAGCCAGCGTTTTATATAAAAGCTGCCAATTCACTGTCAAGACCTTTCCGAACATCCAAATTAATAAGCATAGAGTTTTGCCTATTTTTCTTGGCACACGTTATGATGTTTAATGTTCTTATGTTATTAGCTCCTTGTCGGCCAGGGATGAAGCCTGTCTGGTCTGGATTAATTAATTTTGTTATAATTTTTTGCATTCTTTTTGCCAGGATATAGGTTAGCAGCTTTTGGTCGTTACATAGCAAACTAATGGGTCCGTACCCTCCTTATGGATCACTGATCATCAGATCTTCTCTGATCTAAAGTTTCCCTCCTCCTCGCTTTCAGATACGACCCGGCCAAAGCGAGACTACGAGGTGGACGGCAGAGATTATCACTTCGTGGTGTCCAGAGAGCAGATGGAGAAGGACATCCAGGACCACAGATTCATCGAGGCGGGACAGTACAACAACCACCTGTACGGAACCAGCGTCCAGTCGGTCCGAGAGGTTGCCGAGAAGGTTGGTGCTGACTCTGTGTGGGTTGTAGACGCTAGCAGACTCTGTTTATAAGCTAACGTACTAATGTGATAAGAAATAGGACATTTACTCATTGAACTGGAGGTTTTAAGTTGGTCCCTGTTTCCTCTGGTCCAACCCAGGTCAGGGTCCTGCTGTGTAAACAAGCATTTAGGTCCTGGTCCGGTTTCTGAGGCTTCTTTGTCTCATTTCAGCTCCGACTCACTGATTGTCAATAACAGGTTGTTGATTTCACTCGTTCTTCTTCTGTGGTTCTCAGGGTAAACATTGTATCCTGGACGTGTCGGGGAACGCCATCAAGAGACTCCAGCTGGCTCAGCTTCACCCCATCGCCATCTTCATCAAACCCAAATCTGTGGAGAACATCATGTGAGTCAACAAACAAACAAACAAACATTGTGGCTGTCGGTTTACACAGTGGTTGTGATCTGGTCTCTGGTCTGGTTGTGATCTGGTCTCTGGTCTGGTTGTGATCTGGTCTCTGGTCTGGTTGTGATCTGGTCTCTGGTCTGGTTGTGATCTGGTCTCTGGTCCTGCAGGGAGATGAACAAGCGTCTGACGGAGGAGCAGGGCAGGAAAACCTTCGACAGAGCCACCAAGCTGGAGCAGGAGTTCACCGAGCATTTCACAGGTGAGACGGCGCCGCCCGCCGACCCGAAGGAAGTCCTCGAACTCACATTTCTGTTTCCTCTTCACGCTGGAGAACGTAACGTATAGAGACGTTACAGCTCTGTCAGACCCAGTGGTTCATATTGAAAGGACCCGTCTGTCTTACTGTCAACAAACAGGCTCTTAAATGTATAAAAGGGTTTTAATATAAAGGCATTAAAATATGTAATCTATATATCAGTATTGATTATTCTGTGAAACAAACATGGAAACCTTCCTGACGTTTGGAGGATTTAAAGTTGACTCTATGAACTTCAATGCATCCCGACTCGCTGTAGTGTCCAGGAGTTTGTTGCTCCGCTGACCTCGCTGTGTTTGCTCCTTGCAGCCATCGTTCAGGGCGACACTCTGGAGGAGATCTACGATCAGGTGAAGCAGATCATCGAGGAGCAGTCGGGTCCGTTCATCTGGGTTCAGTCCAAGGAGAAGTTATGAGGATCAAAACTCTGTCTGCTCCATCGCTCCTCTCTTTAGATTCAGTTTGTTTTATTTTGAAAAGAAAAGTCGACCTGCAGACGGCAGCCTCACCCTTCCTCACCCCTCCTCACCCCCCAACCCCCCCGATCTACGACCCGACACTGACGGTGTTTTATTTTGTATTTCTGCCTGAATAAGACTCCATTATTGGGTTTCCTGACCAGCACAGTAAAGCACACAGGAAGTATGACGACATCACACTGAACGCGGTACAGCTCCTTAATGTTTAAGGGAGGAGAACTAAAGAGGAAGAGGAGGAGGAGGAGGAGGAGGAGGAGAAGGAGACGTGTCCATGAAAGTGGAGAGAAGAAACGTACGAAGCAGATTTTCTCTCTTTTTTTTTTTTGTGGGTTTTTTTCCCTTTTGTTTGTCTCGTAAGGTAAACGTCGGTGGACGGACAGAGTTTCAGTCTCAGGCAGCGTCTGTCGGTCCGGAGGAAGGCGGAGACACAAAAAGCAAAACTTTGCACGTTTGAGCTTTAACAGCATGTCATTTAATACCCCTGTTTATTTCCCATCAGCCCCTTCACCTGAGCGTCTGACGTCACAGCTTCTTCTTCTGTTCTGCGCTCATTTCTTTTTCTTTCACTCGATTTAGTTTGTTGTTTGTTTGTTTGCTCCTCGCCGCTGCAGACGTCTGTCGGGACGCCGCTGCAGGGTTCCCGCTCTGCCACCGGGGGGCGCCGCGGAGCTTCTGCTCCGTGTTTCTAACAGCAAACGTCTCAAAAGATTAAATCTGATTCATTTGACTTGTTTTCTTCTTCAAACTGACGAATAATAATCGTTTGTTGCTCGATGTTTTCATTTAGCTTTACGAGGTCAAAGGTCACAGCATCGATTATTCTACTGCTAATTATATCTTTATCTTCTCGAGTCTCATTAAAGGAGCTAAAGTTCATTTTCTTTTCTTAAAAATTCACAATTAAAAGAAAATGATTTTATAGTAAACTTGTAATTAAGTGAAAATGTTCTTATAATTACAAGGACATTTAATTATGAGATTATTTATCAATAACAAGAAAACTGCACTATAATCAATATTCTCTTAATTATCTCATAATTAAGAGAAAACATCGACGTTTGATCTAATCAGGAGAAACTAACTGAGAAAACTCATTAAGAGATTTTAATTACAAGAAAATTGTTTCATGATTCTTTTTACTCATAATTACAAGAAAACAATATAATTAAGAGAAAATGACAAATTAGATAAAACTCACAGAAATTTAAGTTATTTATCTCATAATTACCAAAAGAACTTAATATAAACATAATTTCAGCTCATCTACAATTAAGAGAAAACAACTTGATAATTTGAAAAAACTCATAAGAAAACTTTAATTTCTCATAATTTTCTCATTTTCACTAAAACTAAATTATTTTATCTTTTAATCAAATAAATAAATAACAAAACAATAATAAATATAAATGACAGATCACAAGAATCAGAAATAAAAGTTCTTTATCTGGTAATAAAAGAGAATAATTGTAATTACGAGGTTGTTTTCTTCTTTATCTCCAGTTTGTTTGTTTGTTTGTTTGTTTGTTTGTTTGTTGACCCGATGAGACCTTCCACTGATTTTAAACTTTAAATCATCGTCACACATTTCATTCTGGGTTTTTATTTTAATCATCGTTGTGTTTGAGCGGCGAGTTCGAACCCCGTCAGACGTCCGTCAGCGTCGTCAGTGGAACCGCGAACAGAGACGATTATTGTACAATGAGATTCTGACAGATATTTAACCCTCGGTAAACTGCCTATTTTGTTATAATAAAGTCTATATTGAACTTTACTTAAGCACTACTACTACGGGAGTTATTTTCTTCGCATTGTTAATCATATATGAATAGAAAAGTATAAAGATATTTGAATATGAATATATATTTTTTCTTTTTCTTTTGATCACCACCTCCTCTGTCTTTTAATTTTCTTTTTTAAGCATAATAAAAACTTAACAAGAAAACAGAAAGTGCTCTTCTTCTTCTGCTGCTGACCTCCGACCAGGATCTACAGCGACAATCAATCACACAGTTAGTTTGTTTGAACGAGCTGATTAAATGATCACTGATTGGGGATTTATTGATATATTGATCACTGGTTTCGAACTAGTTAATTTCTTTATATGTTTTGTTTCTTTTTATTTCATAATTTTCACTTAAAATGAACCTTTTTTATTTTCAACACATATTTTATTCTAAACAGTATTCACTAATTATTATTATTATTATTAGTTTGATTATAGATTATTGATTGAATCAACTCCATATAGAACATGGCTCTAGAGTTTATAATGTTTAATGATGGAAATGTTATTGATTGTTATTGATACATTTTATTAAACAATATTTATTTAGACGTTAAAATATAAATATTTGGATGTGAATGAAACATTTAGTGCAACATCACAACCAATGTTTGGAAATCAATCAATAAATCAATAATAACGTTCCTTTATTCACAGTCTGTGGGTCAGATTATATTTAATAGAACTGATCGATTATGATCAATCTTTATCGATCCATTAGTGAAGCAGATTATAAAGTCACTAAAACGAGCTCCACATTCAACATCTGATCAATAATAATCCATCAATAACCAATAATCCAATATTATCTAGTAATATAGAGTACTTTTACTTTCTACACTGAGGTATTATTACTTTTACTGAAGTACTCAAATATTTGTACAACAGTACTTTATTACTTAATAAAGTATTTCAACCTTTACTTTAGTTACTTTAGTGGTATCAGTACTTTAATAAAGTATTTCTACCTTTACTTTAGTTACTTTAGTTACTTTAGTGGTATTAGTACTTTAATAAAGTATTTCAACCTTTACTTTAGTTACTTTAGTGGTATCAGTACTTTGATAAAGTATTTCTACCTTTACTTTAGTTACTTTAGTTACTTTAGTGGTATTAGTACTTTAATAAAGTATTTCTACCTTTACTTTAGTTACTTTAGTTACTTTAGTGGTATTAGTACTTTAATAAAGTATTTCTACCTTTACTTTAGTTACTTTAGTGGTATTAGTACTTTAATAAAGTATTTCTACCTTTACTTTAGTATAGACTTTAATAAAATTCACCTTACTTTAGTTACTTTAGTGGTATTAGTACTTTAATAAAGTATTTCTACCTTTACTTTAGTTACTTTAGTGGTATAGTACTTTAAATTTACACTTTAGTGGTATTAGTACTTTAATAAAGTATTTCTACCTTTACTTTAGTTACTTTAGTGGTATTAGTACTTTAATAAAGTATTTCTACCTTTACTTTAGTTACTTTAGTTACTTTAGTGGTATTAGTACTTTAATAAAGTATTTCTACCTTTACTTTAGTTACTTTAGTGGTATTAGTACTTTAATAAAGTATTTCTACCTTTACTTTAGTTACTTTAGTGGTATTAGTACTTTAATAAAGTATTCCACAGGAACAAACATTTTCAATTTCAGGCCTTTATTTTGAAAGCTCGTGTCTCTGACGTCCTCCAGGAGGGAGTCTCGGACCCTGCGGGACTTCCGGCTCAGGTGTCCGGGTCCCCGCGGAGCCTCTGCGGCCTCCTGTCGGGTCTGTCGGAGGCTCCGGGACTCCAGCGCCCTGCCCGCCGCGGCCCTGCCGGCCTGCAGCACCCTCAGAGCGGCCCGGGCGGGCAGCCGAGCCGCGGTGCGCACCGGGAGAGAGTCCGACAGTTTCTCCACCAGCTGAACTTTATTGATCAGCGCCGACAGGAAGTACCTGAGCACCGTGGTGACGTCACTGCACACCTGCGGGACAACGAGTCGTCACAGAAAGACCCGGACACAACCGGAAAATACCGGAAACAGCCGACAGAAACCGACAGAAAGTCCTAATAACAGCGGGTCCGTTAAACTCACCTGCGGCGTCAGGAGAATGATACCTGCCACTTCCGGCGGGGACTTTCAGAATAAAAGCAGAGAATCACTTCAGGAGTTAATAAAATAAAAATACTTTATTAATCTGTAATTTACTCACAAAGCCAATGAACAGCCCTTAATGAACTAATGAACTAATTAAAGCTTAATGAGGTTTTCTCCCAATTTCAACACCAGCGTTCCCAGTTGGTGGGTATGTTAGCCATTAGCTTCCCAGCTACAGTAGTTTAGCAGCGAGTCGTGGAAGAGGTCTCCGGCACCGACTCTTGGGAGATACATTTACTGATCACTTTCTGGTGTGAGCGACCTGAAGAGCTTTCATTGATCACAGGAAATGTGTATGACTGTTTACACTGCTGGCTGTTGTCTACAAACTATTTCTGTCCAAAAACTAATAAATAAATAAATCAAAATGAATAAATGTTTTAATTGTTGATGAATTTCTGACTTTTATTAATGAACGTACACAGACGAGAATAAAAGGACTGGACTGAGTTTCTGAACCACTTTGTGAAAGTTTAAACTTGTATATGTTGGTTTTAATGTTTATATTTCCCCACAGCATCAAACAGAAGGAAAACTTCCAATCAACCAAAAACTATCTTTAATGTGAGACAGGAGAAGTCCAATATTACCAGATGTACATGAACGCATCGTCATCACTTCCTCATTTAGTTTGCCTGAGGACAATAAGAGCAACTCTTCAACCCTCATTTTAAAGTTCAATCAACAGTTTCTGCTTAATGACAAACTTTAATTGTACAGTTTTACACAAGATGGATTACAGTGGACACAAACTCTGAGCAGATAACTTCAGATACAATCTCTGGAACATCAAGAAACAAATCAATCAGGATCAATGTTTGGTGCCATTGATATTCAGGTTGAACAAACTCCAGAGAGAGAGTGTAGTTGGAGCCACAGGCCTTCGGAGCACTGGGGGGTTTGTTCGGTCCAAAGGGACAGTTTTCAGACTGGTTCTGAATAATGGAGCCCGAGTTTAACCTGCTGATCAAATTCACTTTATAGATATAATCAATGATCCAATCACAAACCTATAGCTGCCATCATTCCCAGATTGATTAACAACTAAATGTTACATCAGTAATGTGTGTAAACACAGCAGCAAACAGGAACCTGGTTTCTGGACCCAGAAGCAGCTTTTACTGAGTTTATCTGGATCACGTTACTATGGAAACCCAAAACCACCAAAACCCCCAAAACCCCCAAAAACCACTGTAAACCTGCTCATCCACATCACCATGACAACCAACATCATCAATATAACACATGTTCATCATCATCTTCATCATCATCATCATCATCATCATCATCATCATCACCTTCATCATCATCATCATCATCATCACCTTCATCATCATCATCATCATCATCATCACCTTCATCATCATCATCATCATCACCTTCATCATCACCTTCATCATCATCATCAACATCATCACCTATCATCTTCCTCATCACCTTCATCGTCATCATCATCATCATCATCATCATCATCATCATCTATTTCTATTGAACAGTCACAGAGACTTTCTCTGGTAGAATCTTCAGCTGTTTATAATCAGTGTCAATAAATGGAAACAGTCTCTCAGTGAAAGTGTGTGTGAAGGTGTGTATGTGTGTGTTAGTATCAGGATCAGAGAACGACAGCTTTCCTCTGTTCCAGTCCAGATTCCCTCTGATCCTCTGGACCTTCTTCTGAACTACGAGATCAGTTTCTGGAGCTGATGGGGAGAATGCTCTGTAGTCACCTAACCAGAACCATATTTCCCATAATCCAGACTCTATGTCTCCCTTCCTCTGGACAGACTCTGCTAACACACCCAGTCTCCAGTATTTACTGTCTCCAACCTCGACATCCCAGCTGTGAGTCCCTGAGTTAAAGCCCTCAGAGCCCAGAACAGACCAGGAATAATCAAACCTCTCTGGATTATCAGGAAGCTGCTGTTTCTCTCCTACTCTCACACTGGTCAGATCTTCAGACAGGATGAGTTCTGGATAAGCAGTGTTTGGATCCAGAATCACAGGACTGTAGGAGACCATGTCCTTCATCTTGTTCCAGATGTTGAAGGTCAGGTTGCCCAGGTGTTTGGCCTCGTCTATCAGAGCTCCTGAGGGCAGCTGTGGATCCTCCAGCAGGGGGCGCTGCTGGACTCTTTCCACTGCAGCCTTGTAGTTGTTCAGGAATGAGACGTCTTCAGCTCTCAGCTCCTCCTCTGTGGCTCTGACTGTGTCTGAAAGAGCTGCTATCTCTCTGCTCAGAGCCTCCATCTTCTCCTTCATCATCTGACTCTTCTGCTCCTCTTCCTCCCTCAGTGCAGCCAGCCTGGCCTCCTCTTCCTCTTCTAGAAACTGGTGAAGCTTCTTAAACTGTTCCTTAATCTTCCTCTCTGTGCGTCGGGCCTGGACCTTCATGTGTTCTGCTGTTTGATCAAACTTCACTTTAACTCCTTCACAAACCTTTAACTTCTCCTTTAAAGGCTTCAGAGATTTCTGGAGCTCCTCTTTGTGATCCTGTGCAGCTTCATCGATGGGTCTGAATCTGTGGTTGGTGTGTTTCTTTGAATCTCTGCAGACGACACACACTGGCTGCTGATGGTCCAGACAGAAGAGTTTGAGTTTCTCAGAGTGCAGACTGCAGAGAGCCTCTGAAGATCTCTGATCTCTCTCCTGTAAGAAACTCTCACACAGGTTCTTTAAAGCCAAGTTAGGAGGTAGATCTTCCCTTGAATGTCTTCTCTTACAAACTGGACACTCACGTGTTACTTTCTCTGTCCACCAGCTCTTCAGACAGTCTTTACAGAAGCTGTGGCTACATGACAGGATGACCGGATCTTTAAAGATGCCGTGGCAGACAGGACAGCAGAGATCTTCCTCTAATCTGGAAGCCATTTTGTCTGTGAGTGCAGCTGAAAGCACAGCAGGCAGCTCCAACAGGAAACCAGTCAGTCACTCCCTGTTCTCTGAAAGTTACTTTCACTTTGAGTCTTTGGAGTCAAACTCTTGTTCAGTTTGTGGATTCAGCAGCTGGTTGAAGTGGTAGTATTCCAGTATTCCCAGTATTCCCTCCTGTAGCTGTCCTGTCTCAGTGGGTTTTGGTCTGAAGGTGAATCTTATCGTCTGTCTCTGTCTGTGTGTCTCCCGTCAGTGAAGCACAATAACAACCTCTGTTTCCTGGTTTGTCTCAGGTGAGTCACCGGAGGGGCGGAGTTTCTTCAGAGCAGGAACACACACGATTGGACACACTCTTATTTTACTGGCTGCAGTATGAAAATCACATGTCCTAATAATACCTTGTTGTTAGTAGATCTGCTGCGTCACTTTGTGGAGGACTAATAGTTAAAGCAGCTCAGTATAATCTTTAGTAAACTGTGTATTTCACAGTATTAGTAACAGTTCTTCCTAACCAGGGGAAGTCTGGGGGGGTGCAGCTGTTGGTGGGTACATGGGTGGACTGTGAGCCAGCTCAGATCATTTGAACATGTAGAAATTATGATTTGGTTCATAAAAATCAAACAGAGAAGTCAAAATAGATCATTGAACACCAGGGCCGGCTCTAGCCATAGGCGATATAGGCGGTCACCTAGAGCGCCATCTGCAGGAGGGGCGCCGCCAGTCACCCTCGAGGGAGGAAAAACAAAAGCTTTAATTTTCGATGCCCATTGGCCTCCCTTCATGTTCTGTCTTGAAAATAATAAATATTAACAAAATAAAGAAACAGATAAACAATGACATGTTTCTCTTGTGGTGCTGAGTCACGTGACGTGTGGTCATTGGCTGCACACCTCAGAGGGTAAGACAGGTGTCACAGAGGTCAGGTAAAGTGACAGACAGGTTATGTTTTGATATATCTTGTGAGATGAAACAGCCGTCAAAGCCCTCGGGTGAGCAGTACCGAAAGAGAAGAAAGGAGGAGGAGGAGAAGAAGTCCCAATATAAAGGTAACATTACGTCATCTGATGGCCATGATGGTCATTTTGACCGTTTCCAAATTTATATGTGCAACTGTAACCGATGTGTTCTTACAGTTTGTTATATTTCATCAGAAATCCATCTTTGTTGATATTTTGTTATTTTTTCTGTATAAATCTGTTTTTGTGTGTATTTATTTTGGGGAGCTTTTATTTCGTTAATTGTATTTTGGCGGGGTGACCTGTTAGTGATGTCACTTCCTGTGTTGTTGCCTGTTCTCCTCAGTAGCAGTGAGACAACCTGAGCGCTCTGGTTCAATGTGACATAAAACATGTTAAAAACCCTAAATAGAAGTTCTTACTCTACTTTATAACTGTCACTAGTTTTGTTCTTTGTTTCTGTGATTTTTATTTAAATGTGTACAAACAGTTTTATTGTGTACAGCACTTTTTGTGTGAGATGTTAGCTCACCTGTCTCAGGATAGCTTAATGAAGAGCACACAGGTAGTTTGTCCCTCTCATTTAAAGGTGTGTGTGTACTGATTTTATGTGTGTTGTACACAGAATAAACCTCCAGTCCAACTGGCAAAGCAGAAGATGTCTGTGGTCCATTACTACACAGGAGTCGAACACAACGCAGAGTCAAACTAAAGGAGTGTCAGGCCAGACCGGTTACACAATAACTTTGTTGAATGAACAAATGTAATACTGCTGTCACCTGACTTTTCCTAAAAGTGTCTGTATTTTAATTTAGAATAGTTTTTATATAAATTACACAAAAGACAAAGAAAATATGATATGTTTTTAATCTCTCCTAGGGCACCAAATGGGCTAGAGCCGGCCCTGTTGAACACAATGAATATGTAGTTGTGAGGTAAATGTTCTATAATATCTCAGTAATGGTGAAAAGAGTTGTGTTGAATTGTTCCCAGTGTATTCAGTGTTTGTTATTTTCTTGGTGTGACTCTGTTTGGTACAGTAGATGATTGTCTGCCACAGTTTGAGCTGCTGTTTATAACTTTGGACACAAGGTGGCAGTGTTCAGAGAGACTGCTGTTAGTGTTTACTGAGAGGACAACATGGAGAAAGGGATCAACAGTGCTGTGAATGTTGTGTAAAACAGTAGATTCATACTTTAATATCTGCTTCAAATATTCATCACATTGAGTCAGTGAAAGTTTTTACCTTTTCTCCTCCTTTGTAACCCTTTAAGCTCACATCCAGTTATATTGTGAATGTGTATGAATGAGTTAGTTTCTGTTTGATGATTCACTGAGTGAATGTGTGTGAAAGGGTGAATGTGGCTGTAGTGTAAAAGCTCTTTGAGTGGTTGGAAGACTAGAAAGGCGCTCTACAAGGACAGGTCCATTTACCATACGTGTTTTGGGGGCTGACTCTGGGGGGCGTGGCTAAGCCATTTTGCGACGCCCATCTGCGGGACCCACCACTAGGTGGCGCTCTCACTATTACAGAATATTATCACATAGACGTGTTCAGGGCGGGACTCTTATCAAACATGTGAAGTTTCGTTGAGATCGGATCATGTACTCAGAAGTTATGACGAATCCCTCTTTCATGGCGAGTCGTTGAAATTCCACGCCACGCCACGCCACGCCACGGGCACGCCGTTTGACGGAGTAACGTGAATAGCACAACTTTTAATCGGGAATGTCTTTAGATGGCTGTGTCTAAATCTGAAGTTGATCCGATCCATTCCCGAGGAGGAGTTCTTTCAAATACAACGTGGCCGACTTCCTGTTGGGTTAGGGATATGGCGCCCACTGGATTTTTTGTTTGTCTGGATAGGATCTACGCGTGTGCCGATTTGTATGCATATCGGTGAATGGGGCCCCGATGGTACAGTTTGATGAGTTTTCGAGCATCAGCGAGACTACGAGGTGGACGGCAGAGATTATCACTTCGTGGTGTCCAGAGAGCAGATGGAGAAGGACATCCAGGACCACAGGTTCATCGAGGCGGGACAGTACAACAACCACCTGTACGGAACCAGCGTCCAGTCGGTCCGAGAGGTTGCCGAGAAGGTTGGTGCTGACTCTGTGTGGGTTGTAGACGCTAGCAGACTCTGTTTATAAGCTAACGTACTAATGTGATAAGAAATAGGACATTTACTCATTGAACTGGAGGTTTTAAGTTGGTCCCTGTTTCCTCTGGTCCAACCCAGGTCAGGGTCCTGCTGTGTAAACAAGCATTTAGGTCCTGGTCCGGTTTCTGAGGCTTCTTAGTCTCATTTCAGCTCCGACTCACTGATTGTCAATAACAGGTTGTTGATTTCACTCGTTCTTCTTCTGTGGTTCTCAGGGTAAACATTGTATCCTGGACGTGTCGGGGAACGCCATCAAGAGACTCCAGCTGGCTCAGCTTCACCCCATCGCCATCTTCATCAAACCCAAATCTGTGGAGAACATCATGTGAGTCAACAAACAAACAAACAAACATTGTGGCTGTCGGTTTACACAGTGGTTGTGATCTGGTCTCTGGTCTGGTTGTGATCTGGTCTCTGGTCTGGTTGTGATCTGGTCTCTGGTCTGGTTGTGATCTGGTCTCTGGTCTGGTTGTGATCTGGTCTCTGGTCTGGTTGTGATCTGGTCTCTGGTCCTGCAGGGAGATGAACAAGCGTCTGACGGAGGAGCAGGGCAGGAAAACCTTCGACAGAGCCACCAAGCTGGAGCAGGAGTTCACCGAGCATTTCACAGGTGAGACGGCGCCGCCCGCCGACCCAAAGGAAGTCCTCGAACTCACATTTCTGTTTCCTCTTCACGCTGGAGAACGTAACGTATAGAGACGTTACAGCTCTGTCAGACCCAGTGGTTCATATTGAAAGGACCCGTCTGTCTTACTGTCAACAAACAGGCTCTTAAATGTATAAAAGGGTTTTAATATAAAGGCATTAAAATATGTAATCTATTTATCAGTATTGATTATTCTGTGAAACAAACATGGAAACCTTCCTGACGTTTGGAGGATTTAAAGTTGACTCTATGAACTTCAATGCATCCCGACTCGCTGTAGTGTCCAGGAGTTTGTTGCTCCGCTGACCTCGCTGTGTTTGCTCCTTGCAGCCATCGTTCAGGGCGACACTCTGGAGGAGATCTACGATCAGGTGAAGCAGATCATCGAGGAGCAGTCGGGTCCGTTCATCTGGGTTCAGTCCAAGGAGAAGTTATGAGGATCAAAACTCTGTCTGCTCCATCGCTCCTCTCTTTAGATTCAGTTTGTTTTATTTTGAAAAGAAAAGTCGACCTGCAGACGGCAGCCTCACCCCTTCCTCACCCCTCCTCACCCCCCAACCCCCCGATCTACGACCCGACACTGACGGTGTTTTATTTTGTATTTCTGCCTGAATAAGACTCCATTATTGGGTTTCCTGACCAGCACAGTAAAGCACACAGGAAGTATGACGACATCACACTGAACGCGGTACAGCTCCTTAATGTTTAAGGGAGGAGAACTAAAGAGGAAGAGGAGGAGGAGGAGGAGGAGGAGGAGACGTGTCCATGAAAGTGGAGAGAAGAAACGTACGAAGCAGATTTTCTGTCTTTTTTTTTTTTTTTGTGGGTTTTTTTCCCTTTTGTTTGTCTCGTAAGGTAAACGTCGGTGGACGGACAGAGTTTCAGTCTCAGGCAGCGTCTGTCGGTCCGGAGGAAGGCGGAGACACAAAAAGCAAAACTTTGCACGTTTGAGCTTTAACAGCATGTCATTTAATACCCCTGTTTATTTCCCATCAGCCCCTTCACCTGAGCGTCTGACGTCACAGCTTCTTCTTCTGTTCTGCGCTCATTTCTTTTTCTTTCACTCGATTTAGTTTGTTGTTTGTTTGTTTGCTCCTCGCCGCTGCAGACGTCTGTCGGGACGCCGCTGCAGGGTTCCCGCTCTGCCACCGGGGGGCGCCGCGGAGCTTCTGCTCCGTGTTTCTAACAGCAAACGTCTCAAAAGATTAAATCTGATTAATTTGACTTGTTTTCTTCTTCAAACTGACGAATAATAATCGTTTGTTGCTCGATGTTTTCATTTAGCTTTACGAGGTCAAAGGTCACAGCATCGATTATTCTACTGCTAATTATATCTTTATCTTCTCGAGACTGTTTAGACTGCTGGCTGTTGTCTACAAACTATTTCTGTCCAAAAACTAATAAATAAATAAATCAAAATGAATAAATGTTTTAATTGTTGATGAATTTCTGACTTTTATTAATGAACGTACACAGACGAGAATAAAAGGACTGGACTGAGTTTCTGAACCACTTTGTGAAAGTTTAAACTTGTATATGTTGGTTTTAATGTTTATATTTCCCCACAGCATCAAACAGAAGGAAAACTTCCAATCAACCAAAAACTATCTTTAATGTGAGACAGGAGAAGTCCAATATTACCAGATGTACATGAACGCATCGTCATCACTTCCTCATTTAGTTTGCCTGAGGACAATAAGAGCAACTCTTCAACCCTCATTTTAAAGTTCAATCAACAGTTTCTGCTTAATGACAAACTTTAATTGTACAGTTTTACACAAGATGGATTACAGTGGACACAAACTCTGAGCAGATAACTTCAGATACAATCTCTGGAACATCAAGAAACAAATCAATCAGGATCAATGTTTGGTGCCATTGATATTCAGGTTGAACAAACTCCAGAGAGAGAGTGTAGTTGGAGCCACAGGCCTTCGGAGCACTGGGGGGTTTGTTCGGTCCAAAGGGACAGTTTTCAGACTGGTTCTGAATAATGGAGCCCGAGTTTAACCTGCTGATCAAATTCACTTTATAGATATAATCAATGATCCAATCACAAACCTATAGCTGCCATCATTCACAGATTGATTAACAACTAAATGTTACATCAGTAATGTGTGTAAACACAGCAGCAAACAGGAACCTGGTTTCTGGACCCAGAAGCAGCTTTTACTGAGTTTATCTGGATCACGTTACTATGGAAACCCAAAACCCCCAAAACCCCCAAAAACCACTGTAAACCTGCTCATCCACATCACCATGACAACCAACATCATCATCATCATAATCATCATAATCATCATCATCATCATCATAATCATCATCATCACCTTCATCACCTTCATCATCATCATGATCATCATCATGATCATCATCATCATCATCATCATCATCATCATCATCATCACCTTCATCATCACTGTAGTCACCTAACCAGAACCATATTTCCCATAATCCAGACTCTATGTCTCCCTTCCTCTGGACAGACTCTGCTAACACACCCAGTCTCCAGTATTTACTGTCTCCAACCTCGACATCCCAGCTGTGAGTCCCTGAGTTAAAGCCCTCAGAACCCAGAACAGACCAGAACCAATCAATCCTCTCTGGATTATCAGGAAGCTGCTGTTTCTCTCCTCCTCTCACACTGGTCAGATCTTCAGACAGGACGAGTTCTGGATGAGCAGTGTTTGGATCCAGAATCACAGGACTGTAGGAGACCATGTCCTTCATCTTGTTCCAGATGTTGAAGGTCAGGTTGCCCAGGTGTTTGGCCTCGTCTATCAGAGCTCCTGAGGGCAGCTGTGGATCCTCCAGCAGGGGGCGCTGCTGGACTCTTTCCACTGCAGCCTTGTAGTTGTTCAGGAATGAGACGTCTTCAGCTCTCAGCTCCTCCTCTGTGGCTCTGACTGTGTCTGAAAGAGCTGCTATCTCTCTGCTCAGAGCCTCCATCTTCTCCTTCATCATCTGACTCTTCTGCTCCTCTTCCTCCCTCAGTGCAGCCAGCCTGGCCTCCTCTTCCTCTTCTAGAAACTGGTGAAGCTTCTTAAACTGTTCCTTAATCTTCCTCTCTGTGCGTCGGGCCTGGACCTTCATGTGTTTTGCTGTTTGATCAAACTTCCCTTTAACTTCTTCACAAACCTTTAACTTCTCCTTTAAAGGCTTCAGAGATTTCTGGAGCTCCTCTTTGTGATCCTGAGCACTAACATTAATGTGGAGTTGGTGTGTAATTATGCTAAGACAATGTCGGACTCCGTAGTTTTCTCTGGACCCCTGCCCAATGTGACCAGTGATGACTGTCGAGGTGGTGTCCAGAAAACGATGTGGGCTTCATTGATAACTGGAAGCCTTTTTGGGGAAAACCTGGTCTGATTAGGAGAGACGGCATCCATCCCACTTTGGATGGAGCGGCTCTCTTATCTAGGAATATGGCGAAGTTTATTTCTAAAACCTGACAGTCCAGAGTTAGGACCAGGAAGCAGAGCTGCTGTCTTACACACTTCTCTGCTCTTTCTTTAGAACAGTCACCCACCCAAAACCCCATAGAGACTGTGTCTGTCCCCCCGACCACCTAAATTATTTAAAGAAATAAAAACAAGAGGAGTTCAACATAAAAATCTAAAAAAAATTAAAACCAACTCCTCAGTAGCACAAAATAAGAGAATGAAATGTGGACTGTTAAATATCAGGTCTCTGTCCTCTAAAGCTGTTTTAGTGAATGAATTAATATCAGATTATGATATTGATTTACTTTGTCTTACTGAGACCTGGTTGTCCCACGAGGAGTATGTTAGCCTAAATGAATCCACCCCCCCAGTCATATTAATACTCACATTCCTCGAGGCACTGGCCGAGGAGGTGGAGTAGCAGCCATATATGATTCGAGCGTTTTAATGGACCCTAAACCTAAACTAAATTATAATTCATTTGAAAGCCTTGTTCTTAGTCTTTCTCACCCAAACTGGAAAACATTGCAGCCAGTTCTATTTGTTATAGTGTACCGCGCTCCTGGACCGTACTCTGATTTTATATCTGAATTCTCAGAGTTTCTATCAAGTTTAGTCCTTAAATCAGATAAAGTAATTATTGTAGGTGATTTTAATATTCATGTGGACGTTGACAATGACAGCCTTAGTAATGCATTTATATCATTAATAGACTCAATTGGCTTCTGTCAGAGTGTAAATAAACCAACTCATTGTTTTAATCACACTCTTGACCTTGTTCTATCATATGGCATTGATATTGAACATTTAATAGTCTTCCCACATAATCCTTTCCTATCTGACCATTATTTAATAACTTTTAGATTATAAGCCATTAGGCAAAACTTCCTACAGCAGATGTCTATCTGACAGTGCTGTAGCTAAATTTAAGGAGGAGATTCCTTCAGTGTTTAATTCAATGCCATGTCTGAAGTCCTATAACGACTTTAGTCCCTCTGAAATTGATAATCTTGTCAATAGTGCTACAGGCTCACTACGATCAACATTAGACTCTATCGCTCCTATAAAAAGGAAATTATTAAAACATAGCAGACTAGCACCGTGGTATAACCACCAAACCCACCAGTTAAAACAAATAGCTAGAAAATCTGAAAGGAAATGGCGCTCTTCCAAATTATCAGATTATCGCTCAAATTGGCAAAATAATCTTAAAATTTATAGAAAGGCCCTCCGTAATGCCAGAGGAGCCTATTACTCAGCACTAATAGAAGAAAATAAGAATAACCCTAGTTTCCTCTTCAGCACTGTAGCCAGGCTGACAGAGAGTCACAGCTCTATTGAGCCACATATCCCCATAAACTTAAGTAGCAATGACTTCATGAGCTTCTTCTATAATAAAATTATTACTATTAGAGAGAAAATTAATCACCAACTGCCATCAACAGTTATCAGTGGCTCTCCAAGTTCAGGGACTTCTGTCAATGTAAACTTAGATATATATTTAGACTGTTTTTCTGCTATCGATCTTCATCAGTTAACTTCAATCATTTCTTCATCGAAGCCATCAACCTGTCTATTAGACCCGATCCCAACTAGGCTGCTTAAAGAAGTTGTTCCCTTAATTGGCACTTCTTTACTGGATATGATTAATCTTTCTTTATTATCAGGATATGTACCACAGTCCTTTAAAGTAGCTGTAATTAAACCCCTTCTTAAAAAGTCCACTCTTGACCCAGGGGTTTTAGCCAACTATAGACCGATTTCTAACCTCCCGTTCCTCTCTAAGATTCTGGAGAAAGTAGTCGCCAAAGAGTTGTGTGACTTTCTACATAACAATAGTTTATTTGAGGATTTTCAGTCAGGATTTAGAGTTCATCATAGCACAGAGACAGCTCTGGTTAAAGTTAATAATGACCTTCTGACTGCTTCTGACAGTGGACTTGTCTCTGTACTTGTATTATTAGATCTTAGTGCTGCATTTGACACCATTGACCATAATATTCTTTTGGAGAGACTTGAGCATCAAATTGGCATTAAAGGAACCGCACTAAGCTGGTTTAAGTCATATTTATCAGATCGCTCGCAGTTTGTATATGTTAACGAGGAATCTTCAATAAATACTACAGTTAGTCATGGAGTTCCACAAGGTTCTGTACTTGGACCAATACTATTTACTTTATATATGCTCCCTTTAGGCAACATTATTAGGAATCACTCCATTAACATTCACTGTTATGCAGATGATACGCAGTTATATCTATCAATCAAGCCCAATGAAATTAATCAATTATCTAAATTACAAACATGTCTTAAGGACATAAAATCCTGGATGGGCTGCAATTTTCTGATGTTAAACTCAGAAAAAAACGAAATTCTTGTTCTTGGCCCCAAAAACCTTAGAGACTCACTGTCTAAAGATATAGTTACTCTAGATGGCATTAACTTGGCCTCTAGCACCACTGTCAGGAATCTTGGAGTTATCTTTGATCAGGATTTGTCATTTAACTCTCCACTTAATTCAGAACGCTGCAGCACGAGTACTGACAGGAACTAGAAAAAGAGATCACATCTCTCCTGTACTAGCTTCTCTGCATTGGCTCCCTGTAAAATGTAGAATTTAATTTAAAATCCTCCTCCCTCACCTATAAAGCTCTTCATGGTCAGGCCCCTTCATATCTTAAAGAGCTCATAGTACCCTATTACCCCTCTAGAACACTACGTTCTCTGAATGCTGGGCTACTTGTGGTTCCTATAGTCTCTAAAAAGTAGAACAGGAGCCAGAGCCTTCAGTTACCAAGCTCCTCTCCTGTGGAACCAGCTTCCAGTTGTGGTTCGGGAGGCAGACACCCTCACCACATTTAAGAGTAGGCTTAAGACATTCCTCTTTGATAAAGCTTATAGTTAGGGCTGGATCAGGTGAGTCCTGAACCATCCCTTAGTTATGCTGCTATAGGCCTAGACTATCGGGGGATTTCCCATGGTGCACTGAGCTCCTCTCTTCCTCTCTCTTTCTGCACTCATTCATGTCCCATTAATGCATGTTACTAACTTCACTTCTTCCCCGGAGTTCTTGTGCTTTCTCGTCTCGCAGGTTCTTGTCTATCCTGGTGGAGCCTCCTGCCATGGTCCTGCTAGATTGCCATTGCTAATACTGTTGTTGCTGTGCACCTGTCTGTCTGTCTCTCTCTCTCTCTGTCTCTCTCTGCCTCTCTCTCTCTCACCCCAACTGGTCGAGACAGACGACCACCCACCTAGAGCCGGAGGATCTGTCCTAGGTTTCTGCCTTTTAACAGGCAGTTTTTCCTTGCCCTTGTCACCAAGTGCTTGCTCATGGTGGTACTGTTGGGTCTCTGTAATTAATGTTTTAAAGAGTTCGGTCTAGACCTGCTCTATTTGAAAAGTGTCCTGAGATAACTTCTGTTATGAATTGGCGCTATACAAATAAAATTGAATTGAATTGAACGTACACAGACGAGAATAAAAGGACTGGACTGAGTTTCTGAACCACTTTGTGAAAGTTTAAACTTGTATATGTTGGTTTTAATGTTTATATTTCCCCACAGCATCAAACAGAAGGAAAACTTCCAATCAACCAAAAACTCTTAAAATCTTTAATGTGAGAAAACCCCCAAAAACCACTGTAAACCTGAATCATGGACTCATCCACATCACCATGACAACCAACAACATCATCAATATAACACATGTTCATCATCATCACCTATCATCATCATCATCACCTTCATCATCATCATCATCATCATCATCATCTATTTCTATTGAACAGTCACAGAGACTTTCTCTGGTAGAATCTTCAGCTGTTTATAATCAGTGTAAATAAATGGAAACAGTCTCTCAGTGAAAGTGTGTGTGAAGGTGTGTATGTGTGTGTTAGTATCAGGATCAGAGAACGACAGCTTTCCTCTGTTCCAGTCCAGATTCACTCTGATCCTCTGGACCTTCTTCTGAACTACAAGAACAGTGGGTGGAGCTGATGGGGAGGATGCTCTGTATTTACCAACACGGAACCATATTCTCCATAATCCAGACTCTATGTCTCCCTTCCTCTGGACAGACTCTGCTAACACACCCAGGTCCCAGTATTTACTGTCTCCAACCTCGACATCCCAGCTGTGAGTCCCTGAGTTAAAGCCCTCAGAACCCAGAACACACCATGAAGAATCAAACCTCTCTGGATTATGAGGAAGCTGCTGTTTCTCTCCTCCTCTCACACTGGTCAGATCTTCAGACAGGATGAGATATGGACCAGCAGTGTTTGGATCCAGAATCACAGGAGTGTAGGAGACCATGTCCTTCATCTTGTTCCAGATGTTGAAGGTCAGGTTGCCCAGGTGTTTGGCCTCGTCTATCAGAGCTCCTGAGGGCAGCTGTGGATCCTCCAGCAGGGGGCGCTGCTGGACTCTTTCCACTGCAGCCTTGTAGTTGTTCAGGAATGAGACGTCTTCAGCTCTCAGCTCCTCCTCTGTGGCTCTGACTGTGTCTGAAAGAGCTGCTATCTCTCTGCTCAGGGCCTCCATCTTCTCCTTCATCATCTGACTCTTCTGCTCCTCTTCCTCCCTCAGTGCAGCCAGCCTGGCCTCCTCTTCCTCTTCTAGAAACTGGTGAAGCTTCTTAAACTGCTCCTTAATCTTCCTCACTGTGCGTCGGGCCTGGACCTTCATGTGTTCTGCTGTTTGATCAAACTTCACTTTAACTCCTTCACAAACCTTTAACTTCTCCTTTAAAGGCTTCAGAGATTTCTGGAGCTCCTCTTTGTGATCCTGAGCAGCTTCATCGATGGGTCTGAATCTGTGGTTGGTGTGTTTCTTTGAATCTCTGCAGACGAGACACACTGGCTGCTGATGGTCCAGACAGAAGAGTTTGAGTTTCTCAGAGTGCAGACTGCAGAGAGCCTCTGAAGATCTCTGATCGCTCTCCTGTAAGAAACTCTCACACAGGTTCTTTAAAGCCAAGTTAGGAGGTAGACCTTCCTTTGAATGTCTTCTCTTACAAACTGGACACTCACGTGTTACTTTCTCTGTCCACCAGCTCTTCAGACAGTCTTTACAGAAGCTGTGGCTACATGACAGGATGACCGGATCTTTAAAGATGTCGTGGCAGACAGGACAGCAGAGATCTTCCTCTAATCTGGAAGCCATTTTGTCTGTGAGTGCAGCTGAAAGCACAGCAGGCAGCTCCAACAGGAAACCAGTCAGTCACTCCCTGTTCTCTGAAAGTTACTTTCACTTTGAGTCTTTGGAGTCAAACTCTTGTTCAGTTTGTGGATTCAGCAGCTGGTTGAAGTGGTAGTATTCCAGTATTCCCAGTATTCCCTCCTGTAGCTGTCCTGTCTCAGTGGGTTTTGGTCTGAAGGTGAATCTTATCGTCTGTCTCTGTCTGTGTGTCTCCCGTCAGTGAAGCACAATAACAACCTCTGTTTCCTGGTTTGTCTCAGGTGAGTCACCGGAGGGGCGGAGTTTCTTCAGAGCAGGAACACACACGATTGGACACACTCTTATTTTACTGGCTGCAGTATGAAAATCACATGTCCTAATAATACCTTGTTGTTAGTAGATCTGCTGCGTCACTTTGTGGAGGACTAATAGTTAAAGCAGCTCAGTATAATCTTTAGTAAACTGTGTATTTCACAGTATTAGTAACAGTTCTTCCTAACCAGGGGAAGTCTGGGGGGGTGCAGCTGTTGGTGGGTACATGGGTGGACTGTGAGCTAGCTCAGATCATTTGAACATGTAGAAATTATGATTTGGTTCATAAAAATCAAGCAGAGAAGTCAAAATAGATCATTGAACACAATGAATATGTAGTTGTGAGGTAAATGTTCTATAATATCTCAGTAATGGTGAAAAGAGTTGTGTTGAATTGTTCCCAGTGTATTCAGTGTTTGGACACAAGGTGGCAGTGTTGAGAGAGACTGCTGTTAAGGCCAGGACACACCAACCCGACGGCCGACCGTCGGCAGAAAAGCAGTCGGACTGATCAGTCGGCCACGGTCTCCCCGAGTTGGTCAAAAAAGTGCCTCCGAACGCACCAAACCGACGCCGACTGGAGCGTACATTCTGCGTGTGCGCAAGGCGTAATATGTCCCCATAACAGCGGGCGGCGCTAATCTGTGTTGTCGCCCAAAAAAAATGAAAACCGGAAATGACGGATCACTCTAGACCTAGTAAACACTGAGCACGCTGTCGTCAGTCATTGTTTTCATCAGAGAGTGTTGATGGTAGTCATGAAGGATTGTTATTGTCATTACTCTCTGAATGGAAAATACGATGGCTAATAATAACACCAAGATACTGGCGTTGGTGTAGTTCAATTCAATTCAATTCAATTCAATTCAATTTTATTTGTATAGCGCCAATTCATAACAGAAGTTATCTCAGGACACTTTTCAAATAGAGCAGGTCTAGACCGAACTCTTTAACATTATTTACAGAGACCCAACAGTACCACCATGAGCAAGACACTTGGAGACAAGGGCAAGGAAAAACTGCCTGTTAAAAGGCAGAAACCTAGGACAGATCCTTCGGCTCTAGGTGGGTGGTCGTCTGTCTCGACCAGTTGGGGTGAGGAGAGAGAGAGAGAGAGAGAGAGAGAGAGAGAGAGAGAGAGCGAGAGACAGACAGACAGACAGACAGGTGCACAGCAACAACAGTATTGGCAATGGCAGTCAAACAGGACCATGGCAGGAGGCTCCACCAGGACCCATAAGAACCTGCGAGACGAGAAAGCACAAGAACTCCGGGGAAGAAGTGAAGTTAGTAACATGCATTAAAGGGACATGAATGAGTGCAGAAAGAGAGAGGAAGAGAGGAGCTCAGTGCACCATGGGAAATCCCCCGATAGTCTAGGCCTATAGCAGCATAACTAAGGGATGGTTCAGGACTCACCTGATCCAGCCCTAACTATAAGCTTTATCAAAGAGGAATGTCTTAAGCCTACTCTTGAATGTGGTGAGGGTGTCTGCCTCCCGAACCACAACTGGAAGCTGGTTCCACAGGAGAGGAGCTTGGTAACTGAAGGCTCTGGCTCCTGTTCTACTTTTAGAGACTATAGGAACCACAAGTAGCCCAGCATTCAGAGAACGTAGTGTTCTAGTGGGGTAATAGGGTACTATGAGCTCTTTAAGATATGAAGGGGCCTGACCATGAAGAGCTTTATAGGTGAGGAGGAGGATTTTAAATTCTATTCTACATTTTACAGGGAGCCAGTGCAGAGAAGTAGTATGTTTACCATCGTCACTTCCGGTTTTCTCGTGCCCTCACTGATTCGCTAGTCAAGGGCGAGCACTCCACCAATCAGATTGGACATTGAGGCACGGGACACACCGAACCGACTCGAGTCACCGACCTCGCCCGACTGTCCGACGGCCGATAATCGGGTTGGTGTGTCTGGGCCTTTAGTGTTTACAAACACTGTAAATCAGTTTGTTCAGTAAACACAAATAAATTTGTTAGATAAAATAAGTCCTTTAAAACATTTAAAAATATTAATG